CGACACCCTAAAGCCTAAACCCTAAACCCTAAACCCTAAACCCTAAACCCTAAACCCTAAACCCTAAACCCTAAACCCTAAACCCTAAACCCTAAACCCTAAACCCTAAACCCTAACAGTTCTTTGGGGCCCTGGGCTTCCCGACAGGAACCATGCAAACGCGCCCTGGGGTTTAGGGTTTAGGGCTTAGGGCGTAGGGTGTCCCTGAATTTTGAATCCCCAAGGATCCCTTAGCCCTTAGGGGTTTAGGGTTTAGGGTTTCGGGTTTAGGGTTTAGGGTTTAGGGTTTAGGGTTTAGGGAACTTTTTTAACCCTAAACCCAAGCCTTCCCCCCCTCTCCCCACAATGGTGAGCCTTATCTTCCCTGTCAGAGTCCCTAAACCCTAAAACCTAAACCCTAAACCCTAAACCCTAAGCCCTAAACCCTAAACCCTAAACCCTAAACCCTTCCGCACGCCCAGGCAAGCCGCGGAGTTGCAGAGGCAGTACCTCGAAATTTGCAGGCCCTGTGGGTTTCTGGGTTTCAGGGCTTTAGGGTTTCAGGTTTAGGGTTTAGGGTTTAGGGGTTTAGGATTTTTCGGGTTTAGGATTTTGCGTTTTAGGGTTTCAGGTTTTTGGGGTTTCAGGCTTTTAGGGTTTCAGGGTTTCAGGGTTTTCAGGTGTAAGGTCTGGGGTGTACCTCGAAATTTGCAGGCCCATGACGAGGGCTTTGTGTTTTACGGGGGTTTCAGGGCTTTAGGGTTTCAGGTTTTTAGGGTTTCCGGGGGTTTAGGGTTTAAGGTTTAGGGTTTACGTCTTGCCCGTGATTAAGGTTGTAGGGCCTTTGAGCTTTTAGGGTTATAGAGGGCTTACTTTACGGCCTTTAGGTTTGTAGGGCGGCTGTTGGGGTTTTCGGCTAAACCCAGGTCTTGGGTTGAGGGTTTTACCTCTTACCGTAGCAGTTTGTTTGCAGCAACTTGGGGTTCGGGATAGAGAAAAGGGGTTCAAGGGTTAACCCTAAACCCTAAACCCTAAACCCTAAACCCTAAACCCTAGTAGGTAGAGTGGGTTCAGGGTTTCCTAGGGTTCAGGGTTCAGGTTTTAGGGTTTAGGGTTCAGGGTTTCAGGGAAGAGCCTCCAACCCTACCCTGGTAAGCCCCCAAACACTCAGACCCCTAAACGCTCAAACCCCAAACCCTACAACCCCAAAACCCTAAAACCCCAAAACCCTAAATCCTAGAACCCTAAAATCCTAAAACCCCAAAACCCTCAACCTTACGCTCTAAACCCTCGGCACTAAACCCGAAAACCCTACAACCCTAGAGCCCTAAACCCTCAAACCCTAAACCTTACACCCTAGAGCCCTAAACCCTAAAACCCTAAAACCCTAAACCCCTAAACCCCTAAACCTTAAACCCTAAGCCTTAAACCCTAAAACGCTAGAACCCCAAACCTTAAACCTTAAGCCCTAAACTCGAAAACCTTAGAAACCCTAAACCCTAAACCCTAAGCCCTAAGCCCTAAGCCCTAGAACCCTAGAACCCTAGAACCCTAGAACCCTAGAACCCTAGAACCCTAGAACCCTAGAACCCTAGAACCCTAGAACCCTAGAACCCTAGAACCCTAGAACCCTAGAACCCTAGAACCCTAGAACCCTAGAACCATAGAACCCTAGAACCCTAGAGAACCTAGAACCCTAGAACCCTAGAACCCTACAACCCTACAACCCTAGAACCCTAGAACCCTAGAACCCTAAACCCTAAACCCCTAAGCCCTAAACCCTAAACCCTAGAACCCGGTAAGGTTCAGGGTTTTGCAAGGATCCACGACGACCGCGTCGGCGAGAGCGCGGCGCGCGCAGCGCTGGCACAGGCGTACGAGGTGGGGCTGAGGGTTTGGGGTTTGGTGTTTGGGGGTTTAGGGTTCCGGGTTTAGGGTTTTTTTTTGGGTTTTGGGGTTTGGATTAAGGGTTTAGGGTTTAGGGATTGGGCCTTGGGGTTTAGGGTTTCGAAGGTTCAAGGGGGTGAAGCTGCAGCGGCAAGCAACGAAAGAACCTAAACCCTGGTGTCTTGGGTTTAGGGCTTTGTTTGTCTAGAGTGAAAAGCAGCCACCCCTTTAAAGCCCTTAAACCTTAAAGCTTAAGTGGAGCCTTAAATGCAAACCCTTGACCGAAGACCTACAACCAAACCCGTAACCATAAAGCCCTCGAGCCTTCAACCCCCCCCCCCCCCCCCCCAAGACCCTGAACCCTTACAACTCTACCAAACCTGCATATGACTCCTGGCCTAGGGTTGAGGCCCCCAAACGCCGCACCACCGAGCAAACCAGGCCACGGGGGACACGCAAGAGGCCATCAAGCAGCTGGAGAATCTCCTGAGCGTGATGGCCTCAGTTTAGGGTTTAGGGTTTAGGGTTTAGGGTTTAGGGTTTAGAGGCCCAAATCCAAAAGCCCCAAACCCCCAAACCCTGTGATTTTCCAAACTCTCCGCGGGCCCCTGCTCTTCCGGTGGCTCAATCACTTAGAACCTAGAACCTAGACCCTAGACCCTAGACCCTAAACCCTAAACCCTAAACCCTAAACCCTGAACCACCCCACCTCCCCAGAATTGGCCGAGGTTGCAAGCGAGGCAGGGGAGTTGAAAGCTCAAGCAGGAGCATGCTCCTCGATGGCAAGTGGGGTTTTGGGGTTTTAAAGGTTTAGGGTTTAGGGTTTTGGGTTTATAAAGGTTTGGGGTTCTGAGTTCAGAGTATAGGCTGCAGGGCAATTACGAATTTTCAGGTTCAGGGCCGGTTTGAGGTTTCGGTTGTCGAGTCGTGGGGGTTATCCGATTTGGAGGGGGGTTTTCCTAAGGTGTGTAGTGTTGTTGAGCACTGTGTTTCGGGGTTGCAAGTGTAGGGAAGGGTGAAAGGGTGAAGGATGGGTAGGGGGGGCGGGGGTAAAGGGTCGGGAGAAGGGGTGGGGTAGAAGGGGTGGGGTGGGGGGGGGGGGGGGGGGGGGGAAGGGGGAGTTTTTTGGCTTTGGGGAGTTTTGGGGAGTTTTGGCTTCAGGAGTTCGGGCTGTGGGGTGTTGAGCAAAAGGGTGTTTACTGGGTTCAAGCCTTGGCTCGCAACCCTAAACCCTAAACCCTAAACCCTAAACCCTAAACCCTAAACCCTAAACCCTGAACCCTGAACCCTGAACCCTGAACCCTGAACCCTGAACCCTGAACCCTAAACCCTAAACCCTAAACCCTAAACCCAGGCCTGAACCTTGGCATCCTCTACAACAGCCGCGGCAACCACGAGAAGTCCGTGGAGCTCCTGGAGCAGCACTTCGACCTCGCCAGGCCTTAGGGTTTAGGGTTTAGGGTTCAGGGTTTGGGGTTTGGGGTTTAGGGTTTAGGGTTTAGGGTTTCGGGTTTGGGGCTTAGGGTTTCGGGACTCGGGTTTCGGCTTAGGGTTTCGGGTTTAGGGTTTAGGGTTTAGGGTGTGGAGTTTGAGGTTGAGCGGGTTTTAGAACCTCGGGCGTCTGAGGTTTTAGGGGGTGTAGGGGCTTAGGGCTACATAGGGGTCATGGTCTCAGGGGCTTTTGACGGCTTTTTTGAGGGTCTTTTTCGACGATTTTTGGGATGTGGGTGTAGGAGCCGAAAGATTCACGAATATTACTTCCCCATACCCCCCCTAATCAGTGCAAGACGTTGCGCTGCCCAAAAAATGCCCCTGTTGTGGGTTAATTGGGGGCTGCTCCCACGCTGCAGGCAGATCGGAGACAGAAAGCTGATCGATTCGGCCCGTCACCTGGCGGCAAATATGCCCGACGGCAAATATGCCCGAAGCCGTACGCCCCAAACCCCAAACACCCACACCGCAAACCCAAAAACCCCAAAATCCCAAAACCCCCACATCCCCAAAACACCAAAACCCCCAAAACCCCCCCAAACCCACAAAACCTCCAAAACCCCAAACCCTAAACCAAGCCTACGCAACCAACAACGCTCAAGCTGCGAGGCTTTGCGGGTGGGCTGGAGCATCCTCCGACCCTGATCCCCTCCTGCGGGGATTCTCTAAGCTATAGGCGCTTTTGGGTTTAGGGTTTAGTGTTTAGGGTGGGTACCCTACACAGACTAATTAAAAGGGGACCCCAAAAGGGACCATAAGGTAGAGAGAGCCTGGGTGCTCTTGCTTGGACATCGGGATTCTGATGTTTGGGGTACCAGCCTCTGACCCTCCTGCTGCAAGGTGTCGTCTTGGGCATGGTGCGTCCTGAGCTCAGATGCTGAAGTCCCCCCGGCCGAAAATCTTAAGTATACTAATTTACCCTAATCACCCCAATCACCCTAATTACCCTAACTACCCTAATCACCCTAATCACCCTAACTACCCTAACTACCCTAATTACCCTGACTACCCTCCCCGCCCCCGGACAGGGGGGCATCCTGATCCCTCTCTGGCCCCTTAAGTGTCCTAGGTTGGATAAGGGGGACCCTTAAGGGGGACCCCTTCTGAACCCTCCTGTGGCTCTCTCAAACAGGGGCCTTATTCAGAGGGTCTATATCCCCAAGGGTCTCCCTAACATTAAGGTGGGAACGGAAAGCTGAAAGCCTACATCAACATGGTGAACAACGACCTGGATAAGCTGCTCAAGTGGAAGAGCCCCGGCCTCGGACCTTGCCGTCGGCCCCCAAGCCCCCCAAAACTACCCCAAAGCCCTAAGCCCTAAGCCCCAAAAACCTAAAGCCTAAACTCTAACCCCTACAAGACTCTGAGTACCTGAAACCCCAAGACCCCCAAATTTCAAAAGCCTCAGACCCTAATTAAAGCCTAAACCCTAAACCCCGAAGCCTAAACCCTAGACCTTAAACTCGGACCCTAAACCCCAAACCACAAACCCCAAGCTAAAACTCCAAAAGCCAGCCTTCCCAAGAAGCAACCCAAAGAACCCGAAACCCTAAACCCTAAACCCTGAGCCCTGAGCCCTGAGCCCTCAAACCAACCCTGTGAAAATGAAGACTTGAGGCAAGCGTGCCACCCTGGACTCCTGAGGGGCTTTAGGGTTTAGAGTTTAGGGTTTAGGGTTTAGGGTGTAGGGTGTAGGGTGTAGGGTTTGAGGAGTGGACCCTGCTCCAAGAGGGAGCGGGGGGCAGTCCAGGCCATCTTCTTTGCACACCCTGAATCGCGAGTCTTAGCTTGGGGTTCATGGGGCTTGCGGCTAAACCTTAATTAAACCCTCAACCCTAAACCCTGAACTAAACCCCAAACCCAAAACTCTAAACCCTAAACCTTAAAGGCGCATCGGGTACTGCTTCCTGAGAAGCAGCAAGTCTCAGAGGCAACCCCATATGGGGGATTTCCGAAATCAGGGGGTCCCTTAATGAATGGGATCCTTATTAACAAACAAGGGGATCCTACTATTCGGGGTACCTTATTGGGGGTCCTTCGTATACGGGGATGCTACCCTTCGGGGATCTATATTTGGGGTCCCCTATTTTTCGTAAACCCCCAATATATTCTTGGTTGTGGATGATCAGACTGGGAGGTGCATGTGGTCAAAGTGATATGGCTCGTAAATGGGGTTTAGGGTTTAGGGCTTTGTGGAACGTGCTTCTACACTTGCACATGCATACATATTTTTATGTGGTCCAACACGTGCAAGTATTTAACTGCTAAACTTGCTAAACTTGAAAGTTTCAGACTAGATATGAATACATAGCCAACATACGCTTGACTCATGGATAACGTTTCTTCGAGCACTAGTTTATGTGTTGCTAAGTCCTCTCCTCATGCATGAAGACAGCTCAGTTTCACCCAGCTTGCCCTGAATGCGGGCTTGCGAATACGCCCACGGCTGCGATGCCTTTCGAGTCGGTGTCTCACAGGCCTCCTTTGTTACTTAAGGTTTTAGTCTAGGATTCAATTCTTAGAAGCGGCAGATGTTGAAGTGCCAAGCGCATGGAATTCTAGAGTTTAGGCGAGTTTAGGGGTTTAGGGTTAGCCCCCTCAACCCAAAGACGAAATCTCAAGCCTGATAGTGGCGTGTTTCACCGCGGCTTTATCACTCAGGTGCACCAGCAAGACCTCTAGCTTCCACTTGCAACCGCACTGCGCCTAAACCCGAAACCCTAAACCCTAAACCCTAAACCCTAAACACTAGACACTAAACCCTAAACCCTAAACCCTAAGGAACCCGAAGCTTTAGAGCGTGTGTGACTAAGGTTGGGCGCATGGTTGGGCCCCAGAACAGTTAGAGTCCCCTTCAGACCTCATGAAAATGGGTTTAGGGTTTAGGGTTTAGGGTTTAGGGTTTAGGGTTTAGGGTTTAGGGTTTAGGGCTTAGGGCTTAGGGTTTAGGGTTGTTTTCACTATCAACCCACTGGCACTGCATGGGGGCCAAGCCTGAATCCTAAATCCTATGCCCGAAGCCCTATCATTACTTCAGAGAGGTCTTGACTCGAGCGCGATGGGATGAGGGTGCCTGGAAAATGGACCTCGCGTTGCTCGTTCACTTGGCGTTTTCCTTATTGGGGTTTTTTCTGATTATAGGGGAATCCTACGATATGAGGGGCCCCGTGTTTTCGTAAACCTCCGCTTCGTTTGCACTTTGAATCTCAAAAGCCTGACGCCCGTAAACCGAAGACCCTATACTCCAAACTCAAAGCCTGAACGCTCTACAGCCCCACAGCACGAAAACCCCTACACCTCCACCCGAAAACCTAAACACAGCCATAATTTCTAAACCCTGAACCCTTAACCCTAAACCCTAAACCCTAAACCCTAAACCTTAAACCCTAAACCCTAAACACTCATGCCCTAAAACCCTGGAGCCCCACCACCCGAAAACGCAGCTTAAACCCTAAACCCTAAACCCTAAACCCTAAACCCTAAACCCTAAACCCTAAACCCTAAACCCTAAACCCTAAACCCTAAACCCTAAACCCTAAACCCTAAACCCTAAACCCTAAACCCTAAACCCCAAACCCTAAACCCTAAACCCTAAACCCTGAGCCCCAAAAGCCTGCGGCCCAGAGCACGCAGCTGGCATTAGTTTTGAAGCCTCAGGGTGCCTTCTTGGGGGGGATGGTAAAGGGTTCGAGGGATTAGGGGTTTAGGGTTTAGGGTTAGGGTTTAGGGTTTAGGGTTTAGGGTTTAGGGTTTAGGGTTTAGGGTTTAGGGTTTCGGGTTTAGGGTTTAGGGTTTAGGGTTTAGGGTTTAGGAAAACAGACACAAAGCGTTTCCGACAAGCGTTTAGGGCTTTCGTAGGGTTTGGGGTTTGGGGTTGAGGGTTTAGGGTTGGGGGGTTAGGGTTTAGGGTTTAGGGTTTAGGGTTTAGGGTTTAGGGTTTAGGAACTGCCAGGAACTACAAACACTGGACGAAGCGCACATTCCAGAAGCTGCAGACGAGCAAGCCAGACTCGCCTGGGTCTGAGAAACCCTTTCAGCGATCCCTGAACCCTAAACCCTAAACCCCAAACCCTAAACCCTAAACCTAAACCCTATACCCTAAACCCTATACCCTAAACCCTAAACCCTAAACCCTAAACCCTAATCCTAAACCCTAAACCCTAAACCCTAAACCCTAAACCCTAAACCCTAAACCCTAAACCCTAAACCCTAAACCCTAAACCCTAAACCCTAAACCCTAAACCCTAAACCCTACGTTCAGCCCCTTCGGTTTCTTGAGGGTTCGGTTCAGCTTCTGTGATGCGTGAAGTTGCATGGAGCCCTCAACCCTGAACCCTAAGTTGCGTAGTTCTCTAAGTTCGGGTCCCTGTCATGCTGGACGTTGGGGTTACGCCTTCGGACACATTCGGGTCTCAACCCCGTAGCCCCCCCCGCCCCCCCAAAACGACAGCCACCCTCATGAAACCGGAAGCCCCCTGGTTTACGGTGGGTTTAGGGTTTAGGGTTCAGGGTTCAGGGTTTAGGGTTTAGGGTTTAGGCTTTAGGGTTGAGGGCTCAGGGTTTAGGGTTTCGGGTTTAGGGCTCCAGAACCCAAACCCGAAACCCTAAACCAACAGGTTTTTTGCCCCACACCAGATCAGCCAACAGCCCGTCAGAGTCCTTCCCCCGGCGCGTTTTAGGGGAAGCCCAGCCTCAGAAGCCTGTACCCCCTAAACCCTAGCCCTAAACCCTAGCCCTAAACCCTAAACTCTAACATCTTATATAAACTCAAATTCTAGATCAAGCCCATGCACCCCGAAACCTCCGAAGCCTTCGGGTCAGGGCCCTTAATCCCAAGCTCCCGAACCCTACAGCCCCAAAACCCTGAAGCCTCGAACCCTATCGAAGAAACCTCGAAACCCCGAGACCCCAAAACTTCGGGCTTAGTGCCTGAAACCCGAGACCCTCAACTCCAAACAAACCCCTAAACTCCCTAAACCCTGAAGCGCCAAAGCCCTGAAAACCCTACACCCTAAACCCTAAACCCTAAACCCTAAACCCTAAACCCTAAACCCTAAACCCTAAACCCTAAACCCCAAACCCTAAACCCTAAACCCTAAACCCTAAACCCTGTCGCCGTGATGGCCTTTCCTGCCGAGGCTCCGCTCACAGTTCCGCCTCACCATGTCACAGGCTTGTGGGCTCAGAGGGTTTTGCGGTTTAGGGTTCGAGGGTTTAGGGTTTAGGGTTTACGGTTTAGGGTTGAAGGTTTAGGGTTGAGGGTTTTGGTTTTTGGTTTTTGGTTTTGGGGTGCAAGGTTTAGGGCTTACCGTTTAGGGCTTACGGCTCAGGGCTTGCAGCCGGCTTAGGGTTTTTGAGCGGTCAGGGGTTTAGGGCTTTAGGTCTTATGGTCTATGAGGGTTTAGGGTTCTTCCCCCGGTTCCGAGGATATGGTCATACATGGAGCCATGGTTTGTCGTGCGCTCCGCACATCCTCGAACACGCTAAACCTTTTCCTAACATGAAGTCCTAAGCCCAAATGCATAATCCCCAATCCCTTTACCCTAAAAACCCTTAACCCCAAACCCCAAATGCCTATTCCATAACCCTACACCCTAAACCCTAAACCCTAAACCCTAACACCTAAACCCTAAACCCTAAATTCCCACCCGGCCTGCTTAGGCCGTACCCACCCTTTTCTAGGGTGCCTGGACCCAGAAGATACCCGGCAGTGATGGACACCTTTACTGGATGGACAATGGGTGGAGCCATTGGAGAATGGTCGAATAGAGAGCCCCTCGGTCTCGCCTTGCCACTAGGCCACCAGAGTGGCGCCCATATTTACACAGGATCTGATGAGAACACCCTAAAACCAAGGACCAAAGCCCTCAAAAGTCCACCAGCACCAATGAAATTGTTGGATTACATTGACAAGAGATGCCTTCGCGTGACATGCCGCCCCTACACACCCAGGGCGCCATTTACGCATGGCACTTACTGCCGCTGCGCGGCGAGACGCCCTAAACCCTAAACCCCAAACCCCAAACCCTAAACCCGAAACCCTAAACCCTAAACCCTAAACCCTAAACCCTAAACCAGGTTCTGTCAGTGGTGGAAGGAGCGCGGAGGCGAGGAGCGGATGGCCTGCGGCTGAGCCTCTGGGGGTGTCATGGAACCCAAACGCCAGAACCCCACGACCCTCAGGGGTTTAGGGTTTCAGGGTTCAGGGTTTGAGGGTTTTAGGGTTTAGGGTTTAGGGGTTTAGGGTTTTAGGTTTTTAGGGCTTAGGGTTTTAGGGCTTTAGGGTTTTAGGGGTTTAGGGTTTCAGGGTTTCAGGGTTTCAGGGTTTTTTATGGTTTTAGGGTTTCAGGGTTTTCGAGTTTTACGGTTTTAGGGTTTAGGCTTTAATGAGGGTTTAGGGGTTTAGGCCTTTCCCAAAGCAGCATGCCTTCAAACAAGGTGCGGCGGAGCTGGAGGATCTCATCCAATCGGCCCCGTCGGCTGCACATTTGGGGGGGGGGGGGATGGGTTTGGAGGGGGAGGAGTTTAGGAGCTTCGAGGTTTAGGGTTTAGGGTTTAGGGTTTAGGGTTTAGCCTTTTCATGAACCCCTTGCCCCTATGATCGCATCCCCCCTCTTCCCATCGAGAGAGAGACTTGGGCTGA